AGAAAAGCTCTTGCATCTATGAATCTCAGGTCTGTAGTACATGGATCCTCCTCTGTGGATGTGAAAAAACTCATGTGCATCCAGTGTAACCTACAAACGCCCACAATTATACAACAAGTACATCTGATTAGTAGGTTCTAAACATGTTAAAGTTTAAAGTTTGAACTAAACCTTGGAGCAAATTGTACATCCCACTGATATAAGCACCACCAGCTTCCATGGGTACCCTTTGAACATTTAAATCAGGTTCACAAATCCCCACCCTGCCCCCAGTGAGGTGAATAGAAAACAAAAACAGAACTGAAGGGGGGGACGACTTCTGAATAGGATTATAACAGCTGAGACAGTAACTAAGCAACCTCCTCCCTCTTTTTCCCAGAGTCCCACACACAAATCCATGCAAAATGATATTCTAGGGATTTGATTAAAATTAAATTAAATTTTATTGCATAACAACAAGCTTTTTTTTTCCAAGAAAAAGGTTGGTTTAGTGTTCACAGGCTTTACAAAATAATACATTCACATTGGATTATAGATCAACAGAATAATGTTGGTGCTGCCAAGCATGGAGTCATATTGTATTCATCATCATCTCCTTCCCAAGGCTTGGCCCCCCTCTTTCCCTGTGGGATGAAATCCTTACTCAGCCATGAAGTCCAAAGGAAAGGCCTTGGGAATGCCACTATTTCTCAGCTTACCCCCAATTACTTTGTAGTTGTGAGAATGAGATATGAAGTAAAACATACTGTAGCTTCTTCTACCCCCCCCCCCCCTTGTAGGAAAGGAGAAAAGTTACTGTATATGCCTGGTGCATTAAAAAGTATCATTCCTGCTGAAAAAGGAACCCAACTCACTAGTTCTCGAGGAGGGAGGAAAGGAAAGAGGAATTGCTATATTCCAGCTTACACTATATTATAGGATTGTTGTGGGAATAAAATTCAGGCAAGGGAAAAACTATCTATGCCATCTTGAACATTTTGAATGGAGAGGTAGAAAGGTAATCAAATTCACCAGAATATGAGAGATGCTCTGGTGTCTAAGCAGAAAATATAAATAATGTCCATGGGGGCTGAAATAAGCAGTAGGATACAGACTGAATCATACTCAGAGTAGACCAGTTGAAATCAATGTGCCCTTAACCCCAGCAAATGTGGAGTGGTGGGTGTAATTTGTTGTCACCAGAGCTCTCTGACAAAGGCTAAATGTCTCACAAAACAGTTCCCAGAATTCCCTAGCATTGAGCTAGGACAGTTAAAGTGGTCTCAAACTGGATTATTTCTCCAGTATGTTTTGGCCCATAGATTCATTACTGTAAAATTAATTTCAGAAGAAGGTATTGCTATTGCTCTATGGGAGTTTCCCAGCATGCAACATTTGCCCCATGCTATCTAACATCTTCATTAGACCTTTTGGAGAGTTCATTTAGATATTTTGAGTGTAGTGTTATAGATATGCTGATGATATCCAGCTCTATTTTTGGAGTTTTTCGCACAGCTAAAAAACCTGGTTTACCTTTCCTTGTTTGAACCCTCTTCCGGGATGCAGCCGCGTATCATCACACAAATAGTCGCCACCGATTCCACTGGCCAAGTGCATCCCTGCTGCATCCCAGGTTCCAGGCACTGCTTTTCAAAGTCAGAAAGCTCCAGCTTGGAAAAATGGCTGCCGAAGTGTGCCTGGGACCTGGCCTGCAGCCGGGCTGCATTCAGCTGACAGAATCAGCAGTGACCATTGGTGTGATAATACTCGGCTGCATCCCAGGATTCAAACCAGGAAAGGCAAACTGGGTTTTTTAGCTGTGCAAAAAACTCCTTTGTACCAATCTCAGTCCAGAGATGCAGCTAAGGTTTATGCCCATCATCCGGAATCAAGTGAAGGACTAGCTTTGGCCCTTTCAATTCAGGTTTAGTTCAGACAAAAGGCTAGTGAGTGGAACCGTTAACCCAGGAATAGGGGTTTATCCTGTTTGGGATTCCTATGTGTTTCCCCTTATAAGGCAGATGTATTTGCTTTGGATCTTGTGTTGCTCTTAAAGAAGTGATGGTTATGCCAAGGAATAGTGCTCTTCAGTCAGTGCACTACCTACATCCTTCCCTGGAGAGGAAATACCTTGCCATGTGTCTCAAATACATTCAGACTGGATTCCTGAAATGTGGTTTTAGGGGAAATGCCTTTAAAAAATATTTGTGAACTTCAACAGCTGGGCTTCTCATATGAGTCTGGAATTGTGTTCATAACTTACTCTGTTACTTCACCATCTCTACTGGCTCATGTTTTCAAGTGAAATTCAAAGGGTTGAAAATATCTCGTGAATCTCAAAATTGTTTGGTAACCAGATACTTGAAGGGCTGTCTAGTTCCACATGAATTCACCCATGCACTGTAGCCCTAAGAGAAAATCCTGCTTCACATAAGCAAGGTGACCAAAATAGTAAAAGTTCTGGAAACCACGCCATGTGAAGAATGGTGTAGGGAGCTGTGTACGTTTAACCTGAAGAAGAGAAGGTTAGGGGGTGATAGCCCTATTTAAATATTTGAAGGGATGCCGCCCCGATTGCCTAGCAGAGGGGTGGGATATAAATAAAAATTATTATTATTATTATTATTATTATTATTATTATTATTATTATTATTATTATTATTGAGGATGGAGCAAACTTATTTTCTGCTTCTCCAGAGACTAGGACACAGAGCAATGCAAACTACAGGAAAAGAGATTCCACCTAAACATTAGGAAGAACTTCCTGGCAGTAAGAACTGGTTTGACACTGGAACATGCTGCCTGGGAGAGTGGTGAAGTCTCCTTCTTTGGAAGTCTTTGTGGATGGCCATTTATTGGGGATGCTTTGATTGTGAGTTCCTGCATAGCATGGGGTTGGACCGGATGCCCCTTGTGGTCTTTTCCAACTCTATGATTCTATGATTTTCTAACATTCCCAGCAGAGCTGAGTTAAGTGGTAAGCAATGAACATTGGAAAACCGGCTCTCTCCCCATGTCCCTCCCTGGCACAGGAAAGCGTAAACAGTCTTTTAAAAGGTTTCTACCCAAGCTATAGCTTTAACAGTAGATAAATTGATTTTGTGGTGGCTGTTTTGTTTGTTTGTACTGTTTATGACAAGGTTATCTTTAACGTTTTTATTATGTTTGTTAGTTGTCCTGGTGATTCCACAGAAAGGCAAAATTAGTATACTATAATGATTTATTGCCCTGTTATGGGTCCAAAAATTTGTGGATGGAGGCAAGCTGTCTTGTCCTGACTTATGACAGTGCCAACGCTGAGAAACAGTATTGTCCCTTTCCTGCTGTGCTACGAAGTCAAGTACCACCAGCATGGATAAAATCTTATTCTAAAAACGATTTACAATTTTCATTTTTGCTGTTTTCAAAACATACAAACATATCTGACTTATTAAATGCAAAAAGCAAAAAACACAAGACATCTTCCAAGGCAGGGACACGACCGATTCAAGTACTCCTGCAATAACTGTGAAGAGCACAATTGGTACAATTCCATCTTCTTAAGTCTGAGTGATATTTGCATTTCAGCTATTGGGTTCTTTATAGTTATTATCTATTTATTAGAACATTTTGTGCTGGGAGAAATTATTGAACTCTTCCAATTTTCAGTAATGGCGATTGATCTTATAAAGCCTCTAATTTGTAATAACAGAGGATTTTTATTGCCAAACCCATTCAGGTACTATTGAGACTTTCATCTTTTGTTTTCAAAATGTTTCACAACTTAATAAATTAACATTTTCAGTTTTAAGAATATTAACAGGATTTATATGTCACTGAAATAAACAGTACATAGAAATATAATTTAACTCTTGAGTTTCATAACATTTCTGCATGATACGAACCGTTTCATTTTCAAAGGACAGAAACGAGACAGAAGTGCATGTGCAGAGTCCTTCAGTGAACTTTGAGAAGTTAACAGAAATGTCCTGCCCCTTTACCTTATTTCTTGTAGCTTAGGGCTTCCCTCCTTTTGGTTACTTGTAAGAATTTCCACTACAAGAAGCAACAAAACACATTAAACATGAAAGTTCATCCTCAAAGCATCTTGAATTTTTCATTTGCCTGGCCTGGTTCTAATTAAAAAATCTGCAGCTCTTTGCCTGAACAGTTTCTTCCACACTGAAATCTGACCACTGAAGAGATATAAAATATAAAATGATGACAAGTGGCTCAATTTTGTAATATTTTATTATAATTCTGTAAGATTACTCTTACCTTCTTCAAGCAACAAAATATTTTCCATATAGACATTCAATCCTTAAATTGTAAGCCTCTGGCAGGATTTAATGTTTTGAATTGATTGTATCTGCAAAGGGCCATGTGAATTTATGGCGCTATACAAATAAACAATTATGATGACGACAACAACAACAACAACAACAACAACAACAGATGTTGTTTTTCCCCCTTAATTTAAAATCTTTGATTCCTTACCATTCATATAGCAATCCTGAGAAGTCAGTATGGTATAGTAGTTGAGTGTCAGACTAGGCCCCCAGGAGACCAGGGTTCAAATCTGTGCTCAGCCATGGAAACCCACTGGGTGATCTTGGGCAAATCACACTCTCTCAGCCTGCCCCAGAAGAAGGCAAGAACAACTCTCCTCTGAATGAAACTTTGTAAGCTGGAATTGACTTGACAGCATGTAACACCACCACTACCAACAATAGTAACACTAAGCCATAGCTTATGAACAGTGTGATGCACACATGAAATCATATGAACAAAAAACTTTGTATGTCCATGGGACCCTACTGAAATTAAGGGGGAAGCTGTCTTTCGGACCTAGCTCAGATAAACCAGGAATAGGAATCAAGGTTTAACTGGCTGATTGTTGTGTGTTGTGTGCCTTCAAGTCATTTCCGACTTATGGCAACCCTAAGGCAAACCTAACATGGGGTTTTCTTGGCATGTTTCTTCAGAGGGGGTTTGCCATTGCACTCCTCTGAGGCCAAGAGATTGTGAGTTGCCTAAGGGATTTGCCAAGCAGGGATTTGAACCTTGGTCCCCAGAGTAGTAGTCCAACACTCAAACCACTACTCCACAATGCAGAAGGGCCAATGGGACCTCCTAACCATCCCAGCAAAAGTGCATGGTATCCCAGCCACAAAATCGTAGCACTTGAGGAAACACAAGTGCCTTCCCCTGCCCCGGCATTAAAAAACAAGGGCAAACTGGCATTCATTTTTCCAGCCCAAGAGTAATAAAATGGGCAAAAGGGCATTAAAGTGGGCTCAAACCAGATTACCTCTGCAGTGCGGATGCAGCCCTCCTTGTGTCAGGCAAGGGCACTTTGTTGCCATTTCAAGATCGGCTGCCTGAAGCAGCTGCTTCACCACTCCCTGAACAGGAAACAGAGAATGTAGGTTATGTGAGAGGATTCATGTAGTGTAAGTTGTGTAGTAGTTTGAGTGTTGGACTATGACTGTGGAGACAGGGTTCAATTCCCAGCTCAGCCATGGAAACCCACTGGGTGACCTTGGGCAAGTCACATGCTCTCAGCCTCAGGGGAAGGCAGTTGCAAACCACTTCTGAACAAATCTTGCCACACAGAAGCCAGTGGAGCTTCAAAAGCTTGCAACGTGTATTCTGTGCATTATGGTTGGCCAGTAAAGGTATCAGTTTTGTGGATTTTGGATGTTATAGTACTTTGCTACATGGCAAACAGGATACCCCTGGATATGTTTTCTGGAAGATGTTGGTTAGGAACTGCTTTGTTCCTTTACATATTTTAATTCTTAGCACACTCTCTCAGCCTCAGAGGATGGCAAGGACAAACCTACTCTGAAGAAACTTGCCAAGAAAACGCCATGATAGGTTTTTCTTAGGGTCACCACAAGTTGGAAATTATTTGAAGGCTTGTGTATGGTGGTATATATATATCTTTCTGTCTGTGTTATATGTTGTATGTTATGTACTTTTATACTAAATATACTTTATATTATTAAATAAATAAATAAATATTGTTTTGTTCCTTTACATAAGAATTTAA